TCTCCTCCTCCTCCTCCTCCTCCTCCTCCTTCCTCTTCTCCTTCTTCTACCGCAGGTTCTTCTGTCTGAACTGCTTTGTGACACATGCTTCTCTCACGACTGCTGCGGCAACCTAAAAGTGATTGGCATTGGTGGTGTGAGGAGGGGGTCAGCACTTACACTCAAACAAGAGGGATGAGACATTGATTAGGGTCCACACCGTAGAGAGGTAGTACAACTGAAGTCCACCATAATACCCAAACAAGAGGTTTGCAATAAATGCGAGCAAGAAGTAGAGCCGATAATGAAGGAAGTTGATTGAGGCGGTCATCGTAGACGCCGTCGGTGAATTGGGACAATTGAGTTGGTTGATCGATTGGTGACATCGATTGCGTCAGCGTTTGAAGGGCAGGTGGCATTGGCCACCATGGGATTACACGTGCAAGGCATGCTGTTGTTGCTGCTTAGACAAGGCAGTGGTAGTGGGACGAGTGAGTGGATTGAGTGAATGTATGAGTGGGTGGGTGGGTGGATGGATGGATGGGCGAGTGTGCAATGCTTGCATGTGATGGGGTGGAGGAGAGGGAGGTGGAGAGTGAGCATGTTGAAGGCGATGTGCGAGGCTTGCCTAGATGAGCTGTAGTTGCTTTGGGTAAATCAACGCTAGGAGAAGGAAGGGAGGAGGGGAGAAGAGAGAGGGAGTAGGAAGCGACTGGGGGAGCAGTGTCTCAGTGCATGAGGAGGCGACGGTGTAGTAAGAGGAGGAGGAGGAGGAGATGGGGAAGTGGGGAGGCGAGAACACATCGACTCAATTGTTGAAAGTAGCAGTGGTGGTTGTTGTTGATGAAGGCGGAAGTGGCAGCATTACACTGTGAATGAGGGAGGAGCAGAGGCATGAAATAAGGAGGAGGACGTGGGGATGTGATATGGGGAAAGGAAAGGAGGCCTATAATTGAGGTGGAAAGAGTTAGGTCTTCCCATGCAGCAGGTTGATTTCGTTCTGTGAAGTGAGGTAGAGGATGAGGTGCAGAGGGAGGGAGTGGGGAGGATGTTGAGAGAGGTGGAGGAAGAAGAGCGAGAAATGATGTGTGTCTGGGCTCTTCCCTCCATGGAGGAACGCGGCTTAATTGGAGTTCGTAGTTAGGATGATTGTTGCACATTGTGTCAACGCGTTTGAGGTGAGGGATGAACGCTCTCAACTCGACACTGGATCAAGCTAGACAGCGATGATGTGTGGTCTGCCATTGGCATGTCAAATCCACTGAGGGCTCTCCAATGAGCATGTCTTAACGATTGCGATCGTTGCAATCCTCCTACCCTATTTTGTGGGCCTAGTACCTCTTTTAATGCGGAAGCTTTCAAGCATGGGAGAGGTGAGTGACAAAATGCCTGAATACTGAGTGGCGAATCCTGCTCTTGAGCTTTATTTTGTCATTTCGTCCGCGAATAAAAGTGAACGGCAGACGATGACATTGGTTGAGGCGGAAATGCGTTGTTGGAGAAGTGTAAGGTTCCTACTATCGGTCCATCTGTAGCATTGCTGGCGAGGCATGCTGCAGCACAGCCTGCGCTTGGATGTGTGCATACACATGCATTGTTTGAGGTGCATGCAAAGCCTTGCATGGAACGCTTGCCAATAATAAGTCATAAAATCCTCGAATGCTTTAATAACTGCAGCTTAAGAGGACGCGTCAAGTTTCCCTGATAAAGGTACCAAATAATGTTATTCAAAACAAAAGCAGGTTGCGATTATAGAACCCCAAGAATGCTAAATGGGTAAAAGAAGGCGGCAAGCTGAAATAAATACGTCTATTTCAAGGTGAGAAGAAGGCAAGCTTTGGCTTTGTCCCAAGGGATGTCATAAAAGGAACTGCAATTACATGGCAAAACACAATGAATAGCTGTCGGACGCAAAACAAATAGCGGCAATATTTTATTTGTGTCTTACCTATTCCACCCTGCTCGAGTTCCATGTTTTAGAAATTACGCTAATCGAATTTGTTGCTGCATGCCATTTGCGTTTCATTGAACATTAGCCTTGCAATACATGTGGCGTAATTAAACGAGAAGGTTTTGCTGCACAAAGTGTAGGGTACATTTAAGCACGAGTAGCAATACGCAATACTTTGGTGGGCTGGCCTTTGGACGGAGCCAAGGTTCGAGACTATTTTTCATCCCAGAAGGATGTATTTGTAGTGCCCTTTTTGTGTGACCACATGACGTTTGACAGTCACTTTAGGATGTGTCTGGTCCCGTACGCGTGGGCTGGCCTTCGAACCACGCTTAGGACCCATTTTCCCCGTCGTCTTCGGAATGCATATATTCGACCTCACTTATGCCTTCCAATCTACGGAAGCCTCGGAACGCTACAGTATTCAACTTAACTTGATGCCTTATTCTGCTTTGTAAAAGGCAAGCCTAATCTTTTCTGACAATCTCTATTCTGGTGTCTATCTTTTGTAATACGTGTCTGCGGTGTAGAGCAAGCACATATACTTTGGATAGGAGAATGTGGGAGTTTTCTCGCCTGACGGCCTGGGTTCCGCCGTCAAGCTGCTAGTAACTGAAGTGAAACCACATGAAACATTTGAAACAGTTTTGCAACGGAATTCTCCCCAATGCACCCGCGCATAATGTCGAAAATGATGCTACTTGTTTGATCCCGTTTTCTCTTTTAAGAGTCGCTTAAGACGAAGGGAGTAGTAGCGTTATAATTTATTTTTTCGGTGGCTTGAATTGTGCTGATTACTGTGGTATTTTCCTTGTTCATGTCCGCGTGGACAGGCCTTTGGGTTAAATCAAAGCTACATCCCTTCCAATCCTTTTGCGTTTGCACTTTAATAACTAAACATTATATTTCTACTTCGTAGAACATTTTAGGACGCTTTAGCTGTACTAATGAATCTTCTCTTACGTCATATTTTGACGAAAACTGCGAATTTTAAGCCTCATGCAGTGATGAATGGCCCAGATATTGAGAACCCTATATGAAAGCATATATAGATGTAAATGTAATACTTTGTTTATGTTACCACATGACGTTTGGCGATCACTTTAGCGTTCGTCTGGCCTCTGTACACAGGGGTTGGCCTTCGTGCCACG